GTAACGAAATCCATCGTGACTTCCTCCCACTTCCACTTTGAAATCTCAAGTGGTTGTAGAAGGCCCATTGGACTCTTATGCTCGGCCTTGACTTGCTGACAGACCAAACACTTCTTCACGAAATTGGCTATGTATTTCTTCATTCCCCGCCACCAGAATGACCTTTTCAGGTCGTGGTACATCTTAGTGCTGTCGGAGTGAGCTAAATAAGTCGCGGTGTGTGCCTCCGTCAAAATCTCCTTCTGCAAGGCCTCGACTTTCGGCACTGCGATCCTGCCTCTGAACTCCAAGGCTCCATCTACGCCTCGAGAAAAACCCTCGACTCCTCCGGCGTGAACCTTGGCCTCGATAGCACGAATAAACTGATCAAAAGCCTGCTCCTGCCAGATTCGATCTCTCAACGTGGGCTAAATTTGCATCAAGCTGACACTGCACGTGATCTCTGAAGGAAGTGACTCGACGACCTGAATCTGCATCCGGGAAAAGTCTCGAACAAGATGGCTCTGCTGAGTGATAAAACATGATAATTCACCCTTTACCTTACGGCTCAGGGTATCAGCTACAACATTCGCCTTCCCCGGATGATACTGAATCGTGCAGTCATAATCTTTAACCAGCTCTAACCAACGTCGCTGACGCATGTTGAGCTCCTTTTGCGTGAAAATATACGGCAGACTCTTGTGATCAGTATAAATCTCGCATCGACCGCCATGTAGATAATGCCGCCATATCTTAAGTGCATGTACCAATTCAGCTAACTCCAAGTTGTGCGTAGGATAGTTCTGCTCATGGGGCTTCAACTGACGTGAAGCATATGCTACAACTGACGTGAAGCGTACGCTACAACCTGGCCGTCCTGCATAAGTACACACCCCACACCCTGTGTCGAAGCATCACTATAGATGGTGAAACTCCAAGAAGGATCCGGAATAGTCAACACCGGTGCTGTCGTAAGCCTCTCTTACAGCTCCTGAAAGCTTGACTCACAATGATCTGTCCATTCAAACTTCACAGACTTCCTCGTCAACTCGGACAAAGGGAGGGAAATCTTCGAAAATCCCTCAATAAATCTGCGATAATAACCTACAAGGCCGATGAAACTACGAACCTCGGTCGGATTCTTTGGTGCTGACCAATTCTGAGCTGCGAAAATCTTGGATGGGTCAACCTCGATACCTGCCTGAGTAATAATGTGGCCAAGAATAGCCACTCGTTGCAGCCAAAATTCGCATTTAGAGAACTTAGCATATAATTTTTCACGTCTAAGGGTCTCAAGAACGGCCCTCAGATGCTCTTCATACTCCTTCTGGCTCTTAGAATAAATAAGAATATCATCAATGAATACGGTAACAAATTGATCGAGAAAGGGATGAAATACACGGTTCATCAAGTCCATGAACACCGTCAGGGCATTGCTGAGACCGAACGACATAACCACAAACTCGTAATGACCGTATCTGGTTCGAACATTATCTTGGCGATGTCTGACTCCTTGATCTTCACTTGGTGGTAACCTGAACTTAAATCAATCTTAGAAAATACACAGGCTTCTCTCAGCTGGTCGAACAAGTCGTCAATTCTGGAAAGTGGATATTTGTTCATTATCATTAACCGTTAAGATCCCGGTAATCAATACACATACGCATAGAACCATCCTTCTTCTTGACGAACAGAACGGGTGCTTTCCACGATGAAACGCTCGATCGAATAAAACCGAGATTCAGAAACTCCTGGATCTGAGTCTTTAACTCCTGTAATTCTTTAGGTGTCATTCTGTACAGCGCCTTAGATACTGATCTGGCTCCCGGTATAAGATAAATATAAAATTCCACCTGTCGGCTAGGTGGTCCACCTAGAAGCTGATCTGGAAACACATCCACAAATTCACGAATGATAGGAATGTCATGAGGTGTCCGTGATTTCGATTCGTCTCCGACAAGGCTCACTACGTACCCTTGGCAATCACCTCGTCGTAAGATCTTTCTGGCTTTTGCCATGGAAATGATATGGGGCAAAGTACGAGTTCTGGAACTGAAATTAGTGATCTGGTCGTCCTCTAAAAGATTAAGAGTAATCTCTAGGTCATGACAACGGATATCTGCATGAAAACAAGTTAGCCAATCCATATCGAGAATGAGGTCAAAATCCCTCATCTCGATAACATATGCGTCGGTAGTCAAGATACGGCTGCCGACAGAAAGGCTGAGATTCTCGGCTTTGGCATCGATCACTATCTTTCTTCCCAAGGCTAGACTCACCTCGAGAGGATCGACAGCACTAACATAATGAACCCCAATGGCATCAAGACATCGATGTGATATAAAGGTATGGGTCACTCCGGTGTCGAATAAGGCAAAAACAGGAACATCATTAAAAATAATCATCCCACACATAGTACATGGGTGCTGGTCTGCTTCGGCCTGATCGATAGCATAAACACGGGCCTGCTGTCTCCCGCGCTGCTGCTGCTGGGGTTGTCTCGGAGGCTGTTGTCTAGGCTGTTGCTGTTGTTGAGGTTGCTGTTGTGGTTGTTGTCGTGGTTGTGGTCGCTCTGGGCAGTTAGAGACAAAATGTCTGGGCTGGTGGCAGTAATAAAAAATGTTTTGACCCGAATGACATTCTCCACGATGACGTCACCCGCATGTAGCGCTAGATGGAGTCTGTTGTTGGTTAGCTGGACTGGGTTGTCTAGTGCGGTTCCATCGTTCGTTCTGAAAACCCTTCCACTTCCTCTTTCCCTTGTTCTTCGGTTGTTGAGTTGCTACTGGTTGGGCAGGTGGTGCTGGGAACGGTTGGACAACTGGTTGCGCTGGAATCGGAATGATCTCCCTCCGGATGCTCGCGTCTATCTCCTGGGCCCGGGAAACGGTATCTGCATAGGTTTGGACGCCGTGGCCAACGATGTTGTGACGAACTACCGACAGAAGTCCGTCAATGAAACGCCTCGATCTCTTCTCCTCCAAACCCAATAACTCAGGAACGAAGAATCCAAGTCGAGTAAACCCACGTTCGTACTCGTCCATTGAACGAGCACCTGTTTAAGCGCCAAGAACTGACGCTCCATTTCTGTGCGATAATAAGCTGGATAATACTTCTCGCGCATCATCTCCTTGAATTGGTTCCACGTACAATTTTCCTTCTCACCGGGACGCATTCCCCAGTAGGCATTCCACTAGAGTCGTGCGTCACCAGTCATTTGGATTTGAACACATAGAATACGGTAACGATCGGGACAATCCATGACCTCAAAAATCATCTCGAGGCCCTGGATTCATTCATCAACAAGTCGGGGATCTCCTTGACTAGAAAACTTCTCAAGATGATAGTCGTGAAACTGGGCGACTACCTTGGACTGTAGAACTTCATGATTGTCCTGATCTCTACGTGGCGGCATTTGAACATTGAAATTTTTGACATGATCAAAAATAAAACATAACATAACATATTAACTGACTGATGAGACACACAAATTTCCTGACGAGTCGCTAAGTTAACTCGAGAAAACTGGAGTTGAATTATCGGACAACTAGAATATATCCTGAACATGACTTTATTACAATTCGAGCATCCTAACTGATTCATAGGTTCGGATATCTAGTATCCTACTGAGCATAGACATAGCAATTTGTTTATAATTTAAAATGTAAATCAGCACTTACCCGTAGTCGGCGAGGCGTGAGCGTGGCGTGGTCGGGTTTTCTAAAAAATTTCTGACTTAATATAGTATTCAGATACACAAAAATGTGCTCTGATACCAATAATAACACCCCGCTAGCTTATTAAAAACATAGTCAAATTATTTTCGCAAATTCTTTTCTAAATATACTTATTAGTTTGCGAAATCTTGATTCGGGATGCTACTGAAAAACCATTTTTTTTAGAAAAATCCGTTATCATTTCTGAGTTAATTTATTACGAAAAATGGATTATATTTAATCAAACTGGCATGTAATACTGTACAAAATCCGACTGGTAAATCGGATCAAAATATGAAAATCAACAT